AATTTTAAAAATATTTTGTGTATCGTGTCTCTTTGTGGTGTTTTTGAATTGGAATCGATGTAATTTACTGAATCAAAAGATTTTACAATTTGTTTTTTAAATAATTTTTATCAAAAATTTTTAAATAAATTTGTAATATTTTCAAAAACTACATAATTGAATTATGCAATTTATTATTAAAACCGTATTTTGTATATCTCCAACCAGCTAGAATTCTGTACATAAATTCTTTAAACACATCTTTTCAAACAAATTTTTAACTTTTTAATTATTAAATTAACTTAAAAATATTTAAAAAAATAAAAAGTTTGTTAGAATTATTAATTATATAATGTTTGTTTTGATGCAAAATGTTGCAATAACCTTATACTAGTCTATTTAAAATAACATTTATCAAAAATATTTAAATTAATTTACAATTTTAATAATTTTTATTTAAATAATTATTAATTTATATGAGCAATTGAATGCCGTATAAAGAAAATATTTTTGTTCAGAATTTGTTAATTTTTATTTATAAATAATAAAGCATTATGAGAGTTTTGTGTCGTTCCATCCCTATTCCGCTTCATAGTTTCTCCTTTTGAATGGAAATTAATATAACTATATTAAAAATTTACCTTTTAGCTATCCTTTTTGTTTTAAATAATTTTGATTTTTAATAATTTGATAATTAGTAATTATTACTTAAATAAAAAAATTAGTACTTAAATAAATAGTATGGTTATTAATTTTGGAAATCAACTGTCTTGAGTATTTCTCTTCAATATATTCTAGTTCTGCTACCAGAAATTGCAGCACTTCTACTAATTGTTGATGATTAATATTTTTATTCGGTTTAATTTTTTATTTTTTTCCGTTTAAAAATCGCAAATACTAATTAAAATGTTATTATTTTATTAAAATTACATTTATTTTCAATTAAATTATTTAATTAATAATTAAAAAATAATTAAATTAATTTTTTTCAATTATTTAAAAATATTTTGCTTGATTCTTTACTGAAAATTTTCTTTTTATAAATTAATCAGGAAGAGAGAATATTGAAGAGAGGGGTAAAAAATAATAATTATTGCTGTAATAATACTTTTATTTTTATTTAATATGTGATGGACGGTGTTGCTCGTTTTCCTTCTTATTCCAAGTATACGGAATCCTTTAAAATCGCATTATTCAGATTTTAATCGTGAAAATTTATTCGAAATTAATTTATTTATCTCATTATTTAAATCAATTTTTGTTTTAAATTTTTAATTAATAAAATTAATAATTATGAGTTTTTTTAATTTGTAAATTATGTCACACAGATTTAATTACAATTTTAGCATTTTGATTTGTTCTATGAAGAGAATAACAATTATATATTTACAAATGTAATATGTATACTTTCTAGTATTTATTTATATAATTGCTCTTTTCTCGTCTTCTCATTATCACAATAAATAACTTTATTTTTATTTTTAGTTAAAGTACACAGGAAATTTATAATATAAAAATTAAATTTGTTATCATGATGTATTAATGTAAAATTCAGATAATGTTTTGTTTATTAGATTAGTCAATTTGTTGTTTCGTAGGAAATTTATTCACGTTTTATTTATATCTTCCTATATTTAAACAATAAATTGATTTTTGCCGTTACTCACGTAATTTATAATTAGTTTATTTTAAATAATAAAAATTGAGAGAGAATTTAAAGTTTAAATTAATTTTTTAAAGAAAATTTTTTAAAAATTAACGATAAAGTTAAACAATTTTAATTAAGCAATAAAAATATTAATTTAACAATTAAATATAAAATTAAATTTATTTTTTTGAGAAGTTTTTTTTATTAATGATTGAGTTGCCGCCTCATCTATTACCAAATGTGTGTGATTTAATTTTCCTTTTCAAAATTAATTTATAAATTCCAAATTATTTAATTTTATTTTAAACAATTTTTTTAATTTTTATAGCCAACAAATTATACATAAATGCCAACAAAACACTTAAAATAATTAAAATAATTATATGGATGTATTTTAAAATTATATTTTATAAAAAATACATAATTGGTACATAAATGGAGCAGCTTTTTCAATTATTTCTCTAAAGTTTTTAATTAATTTATTTTTTAAAAATTTTACCTCATCAATTTTTCTCGTTTAATTTTTTAATTTTTACTTTGATATCTTTTCAATAAGAGGGTGCTTGTGATCACACATCGAATTATATAAAGAATTAATATAATCTAAATAATTAGAGATATAATTTAATTTAAAATATCAGTTAAATTTATATTAATTTTGTTTTCCATTTTTGCCTTTTTTAAAGAATTTACAAATTTATTTAATAAATATTTATATTCTATAATAATTAAATTTGTTATTCTTTTATATCTCTGTTTAGTAGACTGTTCTCCATCCACTTCATTACAAGGGCTAATTAAACTAAATGTATTTATTATTTTAATTTATTTAATAAAATATTAAATTATACAAAAATTGGCTTAATGGTTTAAAAAATAATTATATATAACTTTCATTATTAAATTTTAAAAATATTTTGTGTACCGTGACTCTTTTGTGGTGTATTAAGAATTTGAGGCGATGTAATTTACTGAATCAGAAGATTAATTTTGTTTTTTTTTTGATATTTTTTAACAAAAATTTTTAAATAAATTTGTAATAATTTCAAAAACTAATTGAATTTTGCAAATTACTTTTATAAAATACTAGAAATATATTTATTATACTAATGATTATTTCTACTTATAATAATTTTAATTATTGAAGACTTTGCTATATCGATATTTTATGAATTAATGTTGAATATCTAATTTTAAGAAGAAGATGAAGAAGAAGAAGAAACTAATTAACATTTTCAAAAAAAGTGTCTTTTTAAATAATAAAATATGGTTAATTAATATTCAAATATTTTTATTAATTTATCTATAAAATTTAAAAAAATTGTTTAAATTTTCCTCAACACGAACTTAAAAATAAATATTTTAAAAAATTAAAAAGTTTGTTAAAATTATTAATTATATAATGTTCAGGTGCAAAATGTTGCAATAGCATTAAAGTGTATTTAAATAACATTTATCAAAAATATTTAAATTAATTTAAAATTTTAATTATTTTTATTTAAATAAAAAAATATTTTTGTTCAGAATTTGTTAATTTTCATTTATAAATAAAATATAAAGCATTATGAAGCCATATATTGTGTCTTCAATGGTTCGAGCTTTTTTTCGCTATTTTTCGTAAAACTTGTTCTACTTAGCTCACTTTATAAAAATTAATATATAACAATATTATAAATTTATTTTTAAATTATTAAGGTCTACAACAAATTTATCTTCTTTAAATTTTTAAAAATTTGTTTAAAAACTTCTTTAAAATATTTTAATTCTTCTAAATGTTTTTTAATAACTGACCATCACTTATATTTACTTTTCAAACAAGTAATGGATATCAAATAAGGAAATTATGTAACTGTTTTCAGTATTTATTCCATATATTCTAGCTCCACAGTTACAAATCGTAACACCTCTCATTATATTGAGTGTTAGCAGTTTATTTAATTTATCTTTTCATAAATTTAAAATGTTAATTCAAATGTTATTTTATTTAAATTAATTAATTTATTTCCAAAATATTTTTAAAGTACTAAACCCGTACGGGGCTTCAGTATTGAAAACACTATTTTTGTTTTATTATAATTTAAAAAGAAGATAATTAATGTTGTTGTAATAATATGTAAAATAATATGTAATTAATAATATAATTAATAATAATATAATTAAATTCATATATTTACATATTCATCCCCTTCCAATTTTATTTAAAAAATACATGTATGTATTGTTTATAAAAAAATAAAAATAATTTTGTAATATTTTTAATAATTATATTTTGTTTAATTTTAATTTAAAAAAGTTTTTATTTTTCAAAAATTTTACCTCATCAATTTCTCTCTCGTTTTATTGCCTTTTAATTTTTACTTTGACAATTTCTCAATTAAAGGGTGTTTGTGTTGTAATAATATGTAAAATAATATACACATCAAATTATATAAAGAATTAATATAATCTAGATAATTGGAGATTTACTTTAATTTAAAATAGCAATTAAATTTATATTTTTATTTTTGCCTTTTTTGAAGAATTTGCAAATTTATATTTAAAGTAATTAAATTTATTTTGTTTTTCAGGTTTTTTACTAAGTGAAAGAAACAGCCTTGAATTTGTTGTTTAAAATTATATAATTCCTAAATTATATAAAAATTACACAATATTATAATTTTCAATTTATTCTTTTTTATAAAAAAATAATTAATTTAAAGCTTTGCATTGAATAACCTACATAGAACCAGAAAAATTACTTTTTACTTTTAATTTTTAAATTATAAAAATTAATTTATTTATTTTATAATTAAATATTTTTTTAACTTAAATTAACGTTCTCATTATTATTTATTATTATTTAAAACATGTACATATTAAATTAATTTAATATAAAATTTTAATTTTATTTTATGATATTTCTAATTTATATTTAATTAAAAAAATATTTAATTATTTGTTTGCAATTGCATTTACGTATTATTTAATAAAATAAAATTTTTTAAATTATTTTTTAAGAATTAAAATATTATTTTATTTTTAATACAATTTGGTTAAATATTTTGTATTGATTTGGGGAAAATGGTTTAGAAAATGTGGGAAGCAATGTAAATACTAGAATAATAAACTACTGACATATTTGTGCTGCGCGACCTTGGGAGAAAAGGGAGGGAGGGATTATTTATTTAAAAGAAGATAGTAAGAAGCAGCAGAACATAGTTATAAATTCGTGTCAATAAAAAAATAATAAAACTTGTAAAAAAAAGAATTAAAAATTTTAAAATATCGACAGTAAATTATTCTCTTAAAATAATCCAAAAAAAATTTTTAATTGACAAAATTTATTTTAAAAAATAAAAAGAAATTTCAAAAATAAATTTAAATGTTTATGAGATTAACCCAATAAAGGTAACAGAATACCATAAACAGCATCCCCTCGTAGACTAAACGCCTTAGCCTTTGAACTGCCACATTTTGTGCACAATTGAGTTCGCACTAAATTTGATGTTGGGCCAATCCAAATATGCGATATTCGATCAATCGATTCATAACTGAATGAACAAGATGTCAACGAAGAAGGTTTTAACTGGAAAAATAAAATTAAAAAAAAATAAAATAATTTAAAAAATAATTAATTCCTAAAATAAATTTAACAAGTTAGACTAAAACTAAAAATTGGCAGTATCGGTTAATATAACCGGTTTGTGCCCCCCCCCCCTCTCAACTCTCTTTTTTAACCTTAAGACATAAATCACATCGTAAAAGACATTTTCGAATTTCTTTACGTAAATCAGCTGGTAAACACTCCAAAATTTCATTTCTCAACAATTGAGAACCATCATTTACCCAATAATTCCTAAAAATAAATTTAAATTTTTCTTTAATTTTAAAAAAACCGATTATTAAGTAAAGCAGCAGAAGCCAAATCAACCAATTTTGGAACAAATAATTTATTTTTGTACATTAATTTTTCATCACAAAATGCCAATAAATGATTATCCGTGACATCTATTTCATCCAATATTTGTCTATTTAAAAGTTGTACGGGTAAAAATTCAAGATAAGGCAAATAGCTTATTTGTAGTTTTGTTAAACGAGGTAATAAATAGAACTGAAATTAAAATAAAATATATAAAAAGTTTCTGAAAAGAATATAAAATTCAGCTTTAAGCCGGACTATAAAAATTTTCTTTTAATAAACTTTTCCGGAAACAGGGTGGCTAAAGGGGCTATAGCCTCCCCCCCCCCCCTAAGAAGGGGGAAAATGAAAAAATTTGCAAAGGAAATGATCAAAAACACCCAATTTCAGACCCCCTGAAATTCGACCCTGGCTACACCTTTGAAACATAATTTTTATCGATAAAAAGCAATAAAAATTTAAAAAAAATATAACCAACATCTTCCGGCAACTCTTTAAGCAGATTTTTACTCAAATTGAGATATTGAAGGTTTCTTAGGCGTGTAATATTATTTGAAAAATAAACAAGAGAACATTCCTTTAAACAAAAAGTAGATAAAGAAAGGGGAAGGGCATCAATAAAACAATCCTTTGAATTTACATTTTTTAAAGAAATTTTAAAAATAACCGGAATTATTTTCAACGGATTTTTAGACAAATCAAGTTCTTTTAATTGTTCCAAATTTGAAATTGAACAAAAACGGCGCCAATTTTTAAGTGTCCAATTTTTGCCTAAATTGTTGTCTACAAGTGAAAGAATTGATAATGAACGAAGACTAAACCTGAAAAAAAATTATTTTTTATATTTTTAGTTGCTGCAACTTTCCCAGGCGTCCCGGTAATCGATCGTTTAATCGAGTTTTTAAATTTACTCGAGCAAAATATTTTACACTTCTCATAATAAATATTTATAATAAAACTTTCCGGAAAGAAAATTATGCCTTTTCTTTCAAATTTACCGGACAGTGAAAGGGGATAATGAAAGGGGAAAGGCATCAATAAACAATCGAAAAGTTCCATTTCTATAAAATAATTCCTCCTTTTCTATTAATTATAGCAACTATAAACTTTTCCGGAAAAAACGAATGTTTCCTGAATAAGTTTCCGGAAAGTTCTATATTCTAAAAAAATAGTTTCCCTCTTTCTATTAATAAAATTTTCCGGAAAATTTTATTTTTGTATAATTCCCCTCTCTTCTACTTAACTATCTATTAATTATCAATAAACATTTCCAGAAAGTTATATTTTTATATAAGGTCTCTCACTTCTAACTAACCATCTAATATCCACATTTTGAAGTTTAATATTATTAATATAAAGTTGTTGCAAATTCTTTGGAAACCCAGCTCCATCATTCTTTGGGTAATCTTTTAATTTTAAAATACTCATTTTTGTTCGGAAACGATTTTCATCGACAAAGGAAGAGGTTGATTGTTGTTTTGATGGAGAAATTGTTAAAGAATTTACATCAATATTTTCAATTTGAGAAAGAAATGAACGAAGTTTCTCATATTTTGCCTAGAAAAATTTTTTGAAAAAATTTAAAGAAAAACCATAGAAATATAAAGCATTAAATTATCTTCTTTAAATTGAATGGTTGCTTTTCCTTGTTTTATATGTGAACGCCAAATTGTTAAACAATTCTTTCCTAACTGAAAAATTAATTCAAAATATTTTAAAATTATTTTAGAATAAATTATTTTGATAATTTTAACTTATGAAGTGCCTGTCCAAAAGTTAAACAAAATTTTTTTAATTTTCTGGGAAATCATTTTTTATTTTAATTGTTTAAATGGAGGGGGGCACTTCATTTTAAATTATTCTAAAACAAAAAAATAGGGTAAGACAGACCATTCGAATTCTTTAAATATAATGAACCTCCCCTTACTTAAACAGTCAAATTAAAATAAAAAATGATTTCCCATAAAATTAAAAAAATTTTTGTTCCTCTTGGACAGGCACCCCAATTATTCTAAATCTTAATAAATTAAAAATAAAACCTCAATTTGCCTGTTATTACTAGAATTTTGCATTCTAATCCTCAAAAATCGTTTTTCTTCTTTTCCACCACAAGCATGACTACACAAAACCAAAACACCTTTTTAATTTAAAAAAATAACAAAAATTTTTAATTTAAATTAAAAAACCTCTAGTTTCTCGACAAAATAATTTTCCACTCAAATTTTCTAAACGCAAAGCACAATCCAGTGATGACATTTTCTAATTTAAAAAATTACTAAAACTGAAAGAATTTTGAAAATTAAAAAAAGTTCCAACGAAAAAAATTCTCACGGCAAAAAAAATTAAAACCCAAAAAAATATTCTTTCAGCAATCGGTTAGTGTTTTAGACTCACCTAAAATGATACCGGGTTCGGACCCTTTTAGTGGAACGACAGGAATATTCTTTCTTTTTTTTCCTCCCAAACTTTTTCTTTCTCCCACCCCTCTCCCCCCTCTGATTTTTTTAAATAAATTTAAAAAATTAACTAAAAAATAAATTTTTAATTAAAAATAATTAAATTAAAAAGCATCAACACAAAATTGGGTATATTTTATTTAATAATCAAATACGTACATTTTTTAAATCGAATTATTAATTGCAAAAAGAAAGTCAAATAAAAAGAAAAATATTAAATACAAATTCAAATATTTTGTTATAGTGAATTTAAAAATACTTTTTTTCAGATTATTGAAAAGAAAATGTGGTCAGAAATTTTTAAAAAGGCCTGTTTTCTTTTTTAATTATTTTAAAAAATTTTCCAGCAGCTTTTTAAAAATTCCAAAATTATTTGTAATTCAAAAAAAGAAAACAAAATTATATTTAAAAAATCAAGGTCTTAATATAAAGAAACTGAGGTTTTTCTAAAAAATAAACATAGTCAAATCTGATAAATCGTCATCAATAAAGACACGTTAATTGTAGGAAGGGACGTGTTTATCAAGATTCGAAAGTGTATATATTTTCAATTAATTTAAAATAAAATTTACATTTAATAAGACAAAAATACAATCAAAATGAAGTTATAGAACAAAATGTCATCTCCTATTAAAAGTTATAATCGAGCCATATTTAAGGAAAAATATGAGTAAAGAAACAAAATATTTTTAATTGTTAATTTAGTGGATAAGTATACAAAGAATTATTTAAAAATTACTTCATTGGATGCAAAGGAATTCGGAAAATTCTGATAAAGCTAAAAAATAAAAACCTCAATCGAAATTGGCAAATTATTGTCTTTAATTATTAATGTGGGGGAAAGGTACTGGATCCGACCCTTTTCCGGCAGTCACAATTAATTTTCAACTCAAAAATATCAAATAACTACCCAATTTTTTAAATCTACACTCAATAATCTTCTCTAAATTTTTAAACAGCATCCAACGAATTTTTTAAATTTCCAAAAAATTTCTTTTAATAAATTCAATAAAGAGCAAATAAAATTTTTAAATCAATAACTATTATTAAAAACAAAACCTGCCTTTCAACAACAATCTTCACGCAAATATATTTTTCTCAATTTATGCAAACAATTCCCGCATTTGTCGCAAAGTCGATTTTAAATCTTCTCGGAATTTTTTGGAGCTCTAAAAAATTTTTGAAATTAAAAAAATTCTAAAAAATTTCTCACAGTATTTTCAGCACTCTTCTTTGATGAAATGTGAAAAGAAATTTGGTCTTCCCCAGCAATTATATAAGAAACTCCATATCCAGTATCCGTAACTGGCCCAAAACCTCCTCCAGCACTAACCAATTTTAATTTATCTTTCATTTCAACAGTTGGGCACTCGACTTCACATTGATTGAGAGGAGTTTGTGAAGTGCTCAGTAAATATTGTGGAGGGAAAATCTGAAAATTAATAGTAAAGAATTAAATTTAAATCCTTTTTAATCAAGAATGGGGTGGAAGATTCCAGTCATTACCAAGGCCTAACCAATGATCGATTTCGATGGGATCCATAAACGCAAAACCTCTGAGATTTAATTTTTAAGGGCAGCCTGTTTCTCCGCTAAAAATTGGTTCTATTTACAATATCCGTGAACATTTTTTCAAAGAAAAGTTCGGGGTTTTCCTAAACGACAGAAAATCCTTATATCAACATATAATCCCTATTTTTATTAAATTAAAAAGAACCTTATCAAAGAGAGGCGAACTCTCTTCCAAATAACGCATAACCACATAAAGAGCAAACAAATGACGATCAATTCCCTAAAAATAATCCAATTAAAATTTAGATGTTAGAGGTTAAATACCCTTCCACACATTGCATCACGATAAAGTTGTTGATGTCGATCAGCGGCAACGCGAAGCAAACGAAGACGCTCTTCTCTCTTAAAAAAATATTCAAACTTCCCAAATCTTAAATAAAAAAAATTACCGTTTGTTTTTCATCCAACATTGCTCGCACAAAATCACAAGACTCAACAGTACAAGAACGAACTGTTTCAGTTCTTCCTTCACGATAAAGACGGGTCATTGACGCCTCATAAGTTAACGAAAATTTGCTTTGATTCTGAAAAACATTTTTTAATTCCAAAAAAAGTTCCCAAAAAACCTTAAAATAAGTCAATTGCAAAGCCATTTGCATAAACGCATCAGGAGATATTTTCAATTTTTTAATAAATCCTTTCCCATATTCAGTCCAAACTAGCAAAGCCATTTCCACATCATCAATTAATTTTTGTGCCTCTTCCAAAGAAATTTTTATTTGTTCCAAACAATTTTTATCTAATGACCAATTTAGCCTTTCTGGGTGTAAAATTGTTTGGGGTGTTCCTTTACAATTTCCATCTTCTGCATAACCGTGAAGACACAAATCTTTGAGGACAACAAATTCCATAAAATGAGCAGTTACTGCTGCATCTCCTTTAAATTATTTAAAATTTTTAAAAAAAATTAGTGAGATTAGTAATGTCTAGTCATCTCCGCAAGTGAGGGTAAGAAGACAGTGTCCAAAATTTCATGGAAGGCTACATGGAATTCTCCCATCAAACTAACCCGAAAAAGGAAGTATGGGAGGAAGATGAAATCAACAATTTGGAAAATCGGCGATCTCAAAAAAGAGGTGGAAAAGCCCCACCCATGTTGTAGAATCCGAATATAAAAAAATACCCCAAGAATGTTCAGCATTAATTCCAATACGAGCATTTGGTGAAATAATTAAATTGAATGATTTGTCAAACCAACGATCATAACCTTTGCCATGCAAAAGATTTTCTGCCCAACGATCAAGTTTGGACGTATCTTCCTAAAAAGTTTTTATCAATTAAATAGAGATAGGGATCATCAACAAAAAGAACTATAAGATTGGAGACCGGACAAAGACAAAATGACTAAAAAATATCGGTTATCGAAATTCTTCTATTTAACGATCTCTCTGTCCTAATAAAAATTCCATCACAAAAATAACTTACAGGATCATAACAAACATATTCATCATCCAAGATAACAACAAAAGCAGCCCTTTCAATTGCTCGTAATGAAGTTTTGTTAATTCCACTAGAGAAATGTTCACGTCTAACTCTCGCCCAATGATCACGTCGTCCAGCTGTGAGTGCCGCCAATTGTTGTTCACCTTCACAAGGGACTAAGGCACTGTCCAAAATTTCTTGGTAGGCTAATTGGAGTTCACATGGCTCCAAAAGTCTGAAGAGAATTTTTGTCAAAAATGTAATTAAAAAAACAAACCGAACACCAGTGTGAACATTCAATTTAAACCAACATCCTTTGTGGTAAACAGCAACGTGTTTTGAATCATCCCAAACGCGGAAATTGTCACAATCCTCTCCTGGGGTTCGGCAAGAATTGAAAAGACGAGTATATTGATTAGTACAGAAAGGCACTTTGCTGCGTGGATTTATTGCGAACTATGAAAAAATATGGGGGTTAAAATAACATTTTTTGTTTGATGGTATAAATTTAAATTTTAGTCGAGAGGGCGAAGGTTCTTTTGACCTTTACGGTCAAAAGAATTTTTAAAAGTTTTCAAAAACTTTCAAAAAACCAACCGGAGAAACTTCCTGCCTGTCAATCATCCTACGGAACAATAATGCAGCCCAAGTGATGTTTGCAGCTCTAGCAGCTTGTTTATCAGTCGGAGTGGGATTAAGAGTATCAAACCCGTCTAAAATATTAAATTTTTAATTAAAACATTTTTTTCCAATTTCTTACAATAATTCGAATTGACCATAATGGGTGAGCGTTGTTTGTGATAAACATACTTCTCCCACCAATCGGAAACCTAAAAAAATTAAAAGGTTAAAAGGTCTTGAAAATTAAAAGGCTAAAGTGCATTTTTGTTTAAATGGAATAATCCTTATTGGGGTCCATGATCCGAGCCCTCTCAGGCCCATTATTTAAATTTTAATTAGAAATCATAAACCCAAAAAATCCCAAAAAATATTTTTTATCAAAAACTACCCACATAATTGCTCGACAGCAAAGACTTAATGAAGAGATAACGCTGAAGACGAGGACCCAATCCTTTTTGAAATTTTTCAGAAAGCATAGTAAGTTCATTAAATTCTTCATCAGATAAGATTGGGCGCATAGAACGGAGATGCTAGAATTGAGAAAAAAATTTTTGGAAAATTTTTGAGGAAAATTTCAAAAAACCTTTTCAAGTGTACATTTTAAACTGGGAAGAGGCAAATGAGGCAAAGCTCCTTGAAATGAATGCATTATCGGCTTGCAAGCAGCAACAACATGCAAAGACTTGAACCAAATTTTGGTGCTAAGGGAAATTGCTTTTCCATCGTGGACAGACTCGTACCTTTTTAAAAATAAAATTAAAAAAGAAATTTTCAAAAAAATTTACATCCATCCACGATAGGAGAGGAACCACTTCAAACTGAGGCGGAAGGTTTGGACCAATGAAAACCTTAAAAAAAATTATTTTTTAAAAAGTCCGCAAATTTTGTATGCAAAATTAGCTCAAAATTTGTAGAAAAATTAAAAAATATTCTTATTGTTAGCTCATATTGAACTGAAGAAACGAAAATTTTTAGTTCTTTGATTTGAATATCCAAAGTTTTCTAAGAAACGAAAACCTCATCAAACGAATCAAGAACTATCCAGAGGTCGGATTTCCTTCTCGTAATATTTTCCTTTATCCCATTTTGAGGGGACAACCTGATAAGCCTAATACACGCCTAATAATGCTAACAATAAGTCTTAAACCTTAAAATAAAATTCAAAAAAATTAACCAAGAAATTGATCCAGACAGAACCGACGCTATAGTCCTCGAATAATTTCCATTCCTTTAAAAAATAAATTTTAAAGAAATTCTCTCTCTCACAAAAAATACCCAAACAAATAGTAGAGAACATATTTATCCAATAAACGTGTCAAATTAACTCCAGTAGCATCAATATCCCAAAGAAGATAACAAGAAGAAACAACGCCAACTACAAGGCCAAGAGAGTGAATATTGGCAGGGAATATTCCAGCAGTGAAATTGTTCTAAGAGAAAAGAAGTGATTCTTTGAATTTAAAAATGATTCTTTGAATTTTAAATTTTTTAGAATTTTTCTAAATTTTTGGCATCGATCCAAGCCTGGCACATGGCCAAAGAAAAATCTTTTAAGGAAAGGAGATAATGAGGGACGACAAAAGGAAGTATTTTCGAAAATGTTAAACATAATATTTGTGTTGAAGTTTCCAAGAATCCCCCCACACCCCCCCCCTTTGACTACGTGCCTGATTATAACATCCATTAAAAATATTACAATTGTGGTGTAGTGGGTAAACCCCTAGTCTAGACAATAGGAGGGACCATGGTTCGACCCCCACTGCAAGTAAAACCCTTTTCACTTAATTCTGTACACAAAACAATATCAAAAATTAATTTTAAAAATCAAAAAAAAATTCTCAAAAATACCTTAAACCTCGCAAATCTTCTTTTATAAGAACGCGAAAATGTATGCCAAATATCTTTTAACAATTCCTGATCATAAGTAACAGAAATTCCATCGTGTGTTACAGAAACATTTAATGCTGCAATATTTCTAGCTTCTGCCATTTAAATGAATAAAGGAGAAATATTTTTTAAATGATCTAAAAAAATTAAAAATTCAAGAAAGAGAATAGAGAATAAGGGGTTATTGGACACCATTTTTATATATTTATTTATTATTTACAATGTTTCTAATTTTAGTTTAACTAATTTAGTTAACTGATTACTTCCGTAGAAAATGATAAAAAAGAAAAAGGCAAAAATTAACGAAAATAGACAAAAATGGAAAAAAATGATAATTAAAGGGTTGTTGGAGTCTGAGAGGGGTTTTTTGAAAATTATATTTTGGGAGAACATTAAATAAATCAAAATACATCTGTTCACATCAGAATCACAAAAAATCTCTGGCCTTCGGAAAAAATAAAAGTCCAACTTCCGGTAATCTTCAGCTTTACTGGTCCCTAGAAAAAAATGTGGTAGAAGTACTTTTTCGATATTTTTGAGGTCTGCCAGTAGGTAATCGAGTGTGCTGAGTCCGAATATGAGCTTAGAATTTGTTTATTTCGAACCCCGGACTCGAATTCGACCAAGTCAAATTCGGAGTAAGAATTCGAAACTATTAGGGTATTGCTATTCTGACGCATCAATTCAAGTGAGTCGAATGATATCAAGATTAATGTGTTTCGATAACTTTAGACTGAGTTATGATCAATTAAGTATACGCTTGGTTGAACTTCCGGATATAAATTAGACACCATAACCTAGTCTAAAGATGACGAAATGTAGTAATTATGATACCAATCGACTCAGCTCGAAGAGACTAGTCCGATTAGACATAAAATTTGAAATTTCGAATTTTTACCCCATATCCGACTTGGTCGAATTCGGGTCCGGGGTTCGAAATAAACAAATTCTAAGCTCAGATTCGGACTCAGCAAGCTCTATTACCTACTGGCATGCCTCAAAGATGTCGAACTTGCACTTTTTCCTCATTTTTTTTCTAGGGACCAGTAAAGCTGAAGATTACCCAACTTCCTTCTGAAGTCTAACTTCCGACACTTTAAAGTTTGCCGGAAAATTTTTATTCAGCGGCCATTAAGAATCAAACAAGGTTCATTTATCGAGTTCCCAAATCAATCACTAAAATTCAGTCACCCTAAAAATTAGCTAAAGAGGGAAGGTTCTAAATATTTTTTGAAGTTCTTCTATTCCTTTTAAATAATTTCAAAAACCTTGAAAATGTTTACTTTTAAATTGTGTACATTAACCCCTTTAAAACCAAAAATCCTCAACACAAATCAACACATTTAAAAAAAAAATTTTTTCTTTTCTGGTTTGGCGAATGAGAAAAAAAAATGTGAAGGAAAATAAACAGAAAATAAAAATATTTCTAAGAGAAAATGAGAAGAAAAAAGAGCAATAAATAAATATAAATGTGTGTGTGTACTACTTGAAGGAATGAGAGAAAAAAAAGATTTTCTTTTTCCTCTTCCCAAACTAAACACCCCCCCCCCATAACATTAAAAGCATTTTTGCTTCCCCCCTTTCCCCCATTCCGGGACGCACATACCACGTGTGTGTGTCGATGATGTGATTAGATGGATGTCATTGCTCGTCCCTTTATGTGTTTCCCCATACCGCTGACTGAGTAAACTATGGACTTTGTACCCTAGACATGAAGAAAAAAATTATTAAAGGGACACATAACGGGAAAAGAGATGTTTGAGTCCTGGAATTTTTAGGGAAAATGAGAGAACAAAGACCAGTTTTATCCAAAATTAAGGTTTAAAATTTAAGAAATAGGAAGCTTATCGACTCTCCAGCATTGGGAGGACAGTTCTCAGAATAACAGAGGTGTCAATTAGTGAACTTTCCTGGAAACAAAAGGATTAATAAACTCTAAAATAAAATTTTCTTTTCAGATTTTCATGTCTATACTCTAATGGCAAAACATTTAAACTAAAACAAACGTCTCCGCATTGACGAGAATTTTGGCAATATGTATCAAACTGTTTGTGAGAAAATCTTGCTTAAAGAAAAAAATTGCAGATAAAATTTGCGGAAGTGAAATGATAAAAAATTAAAATGCCAAATTTCAAAATGTCAACAAAAATAAAAAAAAGTCCCCTTTGGTGGGGTTGTGGGTTCGATTGGGTCAGTCGGTCATAACTTCGTCAAGAATCATTGAATTAAGCTGATTTTGATGTTATTTACTCACACCAGCTCGACGATTCTTTTAAATGAGCTACATAACGATAAAAACGTGAAAATTTGGAGTTGTAAGTTCAAATCAGCGTGGGAAAATTAATTTTTCAATCTGCTAAAAATGCTCTTTCCGTCCGTTTTGAGCACTTTTATAGAGATATTTGAACTTTTTCATTAAAAAAACATGTTTTTGATGGGCTGATGAGCGATGCTCTAGCTAAATATTTCAAAATTAATTAAGATGACTAAGGCAAAATTAGAAAAACAAAGAAAAAATGTTTGGAATGGTAAAGGGAATAACCGAACTTTCCTCCCTTTGTAATAAAAAGCAAAAAAATGTTTTTACACAAAAATCAACACACAAACAAAAATTGCTTCGCTAAAAATATAATTAAAAAATAATCGTAAATTTAATTAAAGGGATCAAAGTATAAAATAAAAAAAATTTTTTTCGACAGTAAAAAATCTTTAAAAAAAAAGATTAAAAAGTTGTCATTTTAAAATTGTATTTTTAATTAAAATGAAAAGTGCAAATTTTAATTTAAAATTTTTGTAAAACGTTAAAAACTGCAGAACAATTTTGTCTTTTCAAAGAGATAAAATAATTTTGGTTATCGTCGATTAATTACGTCTCCAGGGTAATAAGGTAATTTTCATTGGCCGACATTTGCGGTTTGAATACAAAACACAATCCCCTGCTTATTAAAACAAAAAATATTTTCTTTTATTTTTAGCGCCAATGAAAAAATTTTTTGAAAGCTAGAATAAAGTTTTCCAAAAAAATATTAACAATACTTTCTACTTTTGGAAGGCCAAAATAAATTTTTTAAATACATACATATTTAGGATATTAACAATACTAACTACAATACATGAACCTATTATATAGAGAGAAATACAGAATACATATAGGGGGAATATATATATAGCTATTTATTCTAATTACATTATCTCGCATCTTTATTAACAACACTTCTTTACTTTCTTCTTTTTAATTTTCTTCACTTCTTCGTGGTTGCTCCTCCAGTTTTGAATGTCGCAGCTCCTTTAGTTGTTGTTCCACCAGCCTTAGACGTCGCCCCTCCTTTGGTTGTTGTTGCTCCCCCATAAGAAGTCGCTCCAGTCTTTGTTCCCCCAGCGGTCATCGTCATTCCAGACTTTGCTTGTGTTGCCCCAACGGTAGTAGTCCCAGCGACCGTCTTCGTTTTTGCTGCAGTTCCAAAATAGTCAGTCGCTCCCCCAGGCATAACCTCCTCCTCCTCTTTCTTTCCGCGAAGAACGAAGAAAAGGATGCCACCAACAACAGAAAGCCTTCAAATAAATTAATTTTGTATATTCTAATCTTTTAAAAAACAAACTCACAATATCAAAAGGCAAACAGCAACAACGGCAATGATTACCCCTTTTCCACCGGAAGCTGCTTTAGTTGGGACAGTCACAGTCGATGTTGTAGTATCTTTAGTAGTTTCAGTAGCTGGAGGGGTGTCATCAGGTGTTGTAGTAGTACGAGGAGCATCACGAAGCAATTTGAAGTTGTTTTTGTCCTAAATTTAATTAAAAATATATACAAAATAAACAAAATTAAACTCACAAGTTTAATATACATCTCGCATTTTGGAGTCTCCTTCCCGTCCAAATTCTCGCCCCATAGGATTTTTTGCGGTTCTCCTTTGTGTCTATGTACCTTTGATTGTGGGAGAATATGCAGAGTGAAGAGACGGGTGTATTCTTTATCGGCGAATGTCGGATCCTTAATCTCCCAAAACTCAGGCTTGCGAAGGCTTTTTTCCGACAAACAATACCCTTCAGGGTCTCCATTGAAAGACAGGTCGCTTCCACATCCAGTCTTTTTGGTCGTCCAATCCTGCTTGTTAAGGTCAAGTTCGATTTGGAAGTTTGCACTCTTAGGGATCGACGCCTCCGCTTGCCGAGCACAGTACCACATACGCGGCTCACCAACTGTAAAAAATTATTTGATTAAAGACAAAATAACACAAAAGAAAACTCACGAGGCTCGACAAAGTTCATTACAGCTTTGCCCCTGAGTCCAAAAGCAACAGCGTATTCGGTCTTCTTTAGGCACTTTCCTTGTCTTTTAGATTCGACACATTTCCCATGATTTTTACAGTAGTCGGTCTCGTCAGTCCTTTCAGCTCCAGCCTCTTCTTTACCCTTCAGACTGAACGAGAACGGTAACCTACACAAATTGGGAAAAAACATTTTTAGTTAAGTAAAAAAACTTCATTACATATTTTCATCCCCAACACGCTCGTCGCCGACATCCTTCTCGTCTTTGACACCAGCATCTGACAAGCATTTGTCCAAACTACCATCGTTGTCTGTGACACCAACTTCCATCACGAGCTTTCCATCTTTAAGGGGAAACTTTGTGAGAAGATCCAGCACACATCCAGAAGTTGAAGAAACGGAGCCCTTTTTGTATTTGACCACTCTGTTAAAAACAAAAATTTTGTTTTAAAATTCAAAACCCTCAAATAAACTCACATATGCCCATCTTTATCCGTGTCAAAATCACATCCAGACTTAGCCTCCAAGTTCAGCACCTCGACTTCGCTTCCTTTCAAAGTATGTCCATTTCCAACATCTACGCACTTGACCACGCATTGGAGTAGCAACAAAACGAAAGTAAGCAGAAGAAGAACACGAGAGAATTGAAGAGCCAATGTCGAGGCCATCCTTCTGACACTTGAGAAGACGAGGACGATTTGATGTTGTTGTTGTTGATAGAAGGTTGATAGTTGTTTTTTGTTAAGGTAGAAATTATGGGGTGCTTTTATACCAGAGCTTTTCAACTTTGAAAATTTTTGTTGGGCATCGGAGCTAATTGTACTATATTTGCTTGGTAATACATAGAACTACATAGGCTTGGTAATTTGGTAATACATACATAGTACTTGGTAATGCATAGCTGGGCAAATATTATACTCAACATTCATTAGTTATTGTCTTATATCGTTATTCTTTGCTAGTACTAAAACATAGAAGTCTACGGTACACCTCAATTGAGTCCCGACTCAATTGAGTCCCGGACCCTATAACTTATGAAGGAACGGTCACTTTTCGTTACTCTTGGTACCATTAGATAGGGCATTAAATAGGCTACAATATGCTAAAAAATCAAAATTCCTAACCGACTGGTAAAAAAGTTATGATCGATAAAGTGCCGAAAAATCAGATTTTTTTGAAAAAGTTAGTTTTTAGATCAGAACTTTTTTATCATTTGGTCAAAAATTCTGATTTTTTGGTATATTGTAGTCCATCTAATGTTCTATCAAATGGTACCAAAAACATTAAAAATCATCAACCCGAACTTGAGTTATAGGGCCGGGACTCAATTGAGCCGGGACTCAGTTGAACTGCTCCGAGAAGTCTAGTATATAATAGAGCCCGGACTGAGACAAAATCTCGATCAGAAATCTCAGATTTCTCAAGATATTCGATGATATAACAGGGAAATGTGGAAGCAGAAGAGTCATTTAGATGGAATCTGCGGAAGGCGGAAGAGAGCCAATCTCTGAACCAAACATTATTTGTTCTCTCCAGCAATTTTTTTGTAAATTTTTTAAAAACAAAATATAAACATTCTCTCATTTTTATCCGTTTAAAAAAAATAAAATATAAATTGAATATTAAAAGAAAAAAAGCATTTTTAACTCTAAAAATGTTTAACAACAAAAAATAAACTATAATAAGCATAAATTTGGAAAAAATTTTTTGTAAATTAATCGGTAGAATGAGTAATACCAAACACGGAAATACCAAACCCCTCAAAAGACATGATGAAATACTAAAATGTGATTGTTAACAATCTTTCACGTTTATGAGGCAAACTCTCCCATTTATTTAACAACATTCCAAGTGTTTGAAACATAACTAGGTTGTATATATGTTTGTATTATTCAGGGGGTTTTTGGTACTACGATGCGCCCCAATTAATTAAAAAAATTTTCAATACGAGAAAGACGAATAACAAAAAAATTAAAATAATAATTATTAACTCAACTCTCAAAAGAGAAGAGATAAAATTATATATTTTAGATGTGTGTGTGTGGATATTATAATAATAATAAAATGATACAGAGAGTAATTTTTGTTTGTTTTTTTAATAAAAATTATCAGATTTAAGAAGGAAAACAATATTGTAAAGGAAAAAGAGGGCTGTGCTTTTTACGGATTTTTAGAATCAATTACGGATTTCGGCTTCGTTTTCAAGTGAGGACAGCCCTAGAGAGAAGATTAAAACAAATGTTGAATATTTATTTTTAAGAGAAGGCGGAGCGGGGTGGAAATATTTGAAGGGATATTTGTGGACATAATGAACTTTATAAATTATATCTGGAATCGAACCAAAAAAATACTCGATTCTTCGGTAGTTTCCGAACTAACAGAAAAAGGTCGGAGATTTGACCGATGGCCGTTAAAATGCTTTTCTTAAAATTATAAAACAACTTCTTGAATTATTGTGTTTTTGATATTGAAATTTCTCTGCGGCATAAATTTTTGAAATTAATTTTCAAAATGGATTAGGCTTAAAAACCCTAAAAAATCTAAAATCATTCTATAAAATTATTCTAAGCCGAAAAAAATCGCTTAAACAATGGAAATATAGTTACAAAACTTGCGGATAAAAATTTTTATTTTTTAAAATCTTATATAAAAATTAATCACCATTGAATCCCCTCCTTCCTTCTCGTAAATTTAAAATAAAATCAGAAAAAAACAATAACAAAAAATTTTTTTGGGTGATCGCCGGGATCTGGACATAAATATAGATGTTTTAATAAAAAAATTTTTGGAGCATAAAATATATAATAGCGCAGTTATCTCAAATCAACGAAAAAAAATTATAAAAAAAAAGGCAAAAAACAATTGCCGAATAATTAAATAATTAAAAAAAATTAAATTTATTTCCTACTTTCCTGGTAAAGAGGATATTGAACCTCCTCCTCCACCACCTCCATCCCCGCCTCCACCTCTTCTCATAGCACCTTTATTTGTTTCTGCAAAAAGTTCGCGTTTTGCTGCACGGGCAGGCTGAAAAAGAAAATTAAAAAATGTTAAATAAAGTCGGATCTCATTATAATAAGATACAATGTTGGGGTGGTAAGTTTAATAAATAAAAGGGCAACATTTCCAAATGTTAGTGCACCTTTTATTCAAACATGGGTTAGCCTATTCTGCAATATTGTATAGCTTTTGCGATAGAGCATATACTGTTAGTCAAATTTTTATATTGGTATTCAGTAGAGTTCGAACCCGGGCCGGGCCCGGACCGGTTTTTTCCGGGCCCGGTGGCCCGGAACCGGGTATTTTTAAGAAAATCCGGTTTTTCCGGGCTAACCGGTTTTTCCGGTTTTACCCGGAAAAACCGGCCCGGGTGCAATTTTGAGTAAAAAAACCGGGTCCCGGGCCCGGTAATTTTTTGCCGGGCCCGGAGTGGGAGTTTTGGAATGGAAGTTTGGCTGAAAATGGAAGTTTTGGCTTAAGGATCTCCCAAAATTTTCAAAATTTTCGCCTGCGGCGCTGGAAAAGTAAGAAATCTAGTGGGTTGCAGTGATGTCAAAGTTCCAGTTCCGGAACTAATTAGTTCTAGTTCCAGTTCCGGAACTAAAACTACTGAACTAACGATTATGTGGAACTAGTTTGGAACTAGAACACGGAACTAGTAAATGCCTGGAACTAGCTTGGAACTGGAACTACTGAACTAGTAAATGCCTGGAACTAGCTTTGGAACTAGTTCTGGAACTAGTTCTTGGGGGTATATTTTTGACAAAATTTCCTCGAAAATTACCTGCAGCGCGCTGTGTATGGAAGAAATCTGGCTGCTTGAGCTCCAAAATTCTAAAAATTTTCGCCTGCGGCACTAAAAAGTAGATTTTTTCGGCCTAAGACACCCCTATATCCTTTTCATTCTCCAAAATCTCACGTTATATCGTGTTAACCAACTAAATCCATCTGCCTTACACTAATAAAGATATACAGTGGCGGCAATTAACTTAAGACCGGTATATATTTTTATGTAATTCCTTTCATTTTTATCCGATCTGGCAGATCTTAATTTTAAAAAATACCTTGATTTCCGACTCAGTTGACATGTTTCAACGTTTTTCAAAATTCTGATATTTTCGACAACTTTTCGACCGGTCTAACAGGTACTACTTTTTCAACTTTTCGGAGAAATTTTTTTGAAGTCTGTAAAAAATATATGTGATTTTCCTCTAGATTCTACATACAATACAAAAAAATCATCCAAATCGGTCGAGATTCTACCGTGTTATGAATTTTTGAAAATCGCAAAAATGCGATTTTTTGACGAAAAAAGGCAAAAAATCGCGTTTTTTCAATTTTCAAAAATTCATAACTCGGTAGATTCGCGACCGATTTGGATGATGTCTCGACCGATTTGGATGATGATCTGGAGGAGAATCACATATATTTTTACAGACTTCAAAAAAATTTCTCAGGAGAGTTGAAAGCCTAGTGTAATTGTCGGAATGGTGAATGCTTAGGGTAATTTTTTTCACACTTCCAGGAAGTTAGGAAATTTTTTCGAAGAAAAATGTTGGACAATCATAAAGTGGCCACCCCAAAGTACAAATCTAGATCTAATTCAGATGCTCGGATTTGTGTCGACGAGCAGATTAAGTCAAAAACCCCCCAAAAACCAAGATCAGCTTTTCATGTGGGTCAGATGAAGCTTGGTTAAATATAACAAATGAGCGAGTATTAATTTAGTTAATTTTATGAAGCGACGTTGCCTAGGTTTTATTAAGAAAAAAAGGGATGGCGACATCTAAGTGATTTTAGTCAGAAAATTTGAAGATTGTATATCGATCTTAAGTAAATTTCGCGCACACTTTCAAGTTTTTGCTAAAAATTTTTGGGTTGTAATTGTAATACATTAAAGAAATTTACAGAAAAGGTAGGTTGAAATCAGAGCTATTCAATACCCGAAAGACTATTTCATATTTCTATAAAGCTGGAGAGAAAAGTAAGGTTAAAGAAAAAAATTCAATCGGTCTTAAGTAAATTTCCGCCACTGTATGTAGTCGGGATATCACAGGTATCATTGGGTATGCAGATTTTTTATGTTTTTAATAAATTTAGAAAAAACCGGGTCCGGGCCCGGGTCTGAAAAAATCCGGTTTTTCCGGGCTAACCGGTTTTTCCGGTTTTATCCGGAAAAACCGGTCCGGGTGCGATTTTGAGAAAAAAAAACCGGGTCCCGGGCCCGGCATTTTGAAAAGTTCGAACTCTAGTATTCAGACGCAATCAAGAGTTAATAATTTAAATTTCATCTTTCTAAATATTAAGTAGAGCACTGGGTGAAGGGAATTTCCTTAGCGGGACTTATAATTTAAAAGATCCTTTCAAACCCCAAATATTGTATCCTATTAAAGAAGTATCGATTTATTTTACCTCAGTTATATAAAGATCATCATTTCGCAATTTAGCCAATTCCCTTGCAATTATAGGATTAATAGCCAACTGATTGCTGTATTTGCAATCTATAAAAAATTTCTTGTTTAAAATATTCAAAAAATTTCACAAACGTTTAATAAAATGCAAAAATTTTTGAAGACCAACAGTTCTACCCAATTTAATATCCTGTAGAGTAACGTCCTGAAAATCATTATAAAGTTGTGGACGCATCTTTTTTTCCAGTCCATAACTA